TTGTATGTTAATAGTACATAAAATTAAAATATGGTGTAATTATTCATGAAAATGATATTTATTTATTAAAAAAATGTGAAAATGGATAGGTAAATAAAAAATTGTAGATAAAGAAAATGTTGGTAATTTTAGTGAAATCATTGGTTCATTTTAAGTAATTGGATTCACACGATAATATGAGGTTGGTAGTTAAACCATATCACAAACTATGATGTGTTGAATGTACACTCGTATAAACTACCTAAAACCTAAGATTTGTTGGATGACGACATGGTGCCATATGGCAGGTGTCAAGGGTGTCACAGGGACAACACTTTTGAGTCAAGTTCAGAAGCTCTGAGTCTTGCTCAAAAGTTTTTGGTAATGTAATGTTGTTGGCTCATAGCTTCTTCCAACTCTCAAGCGCTTCGAACTAAGGAGTCAAAGTTTCTCATTCTAGAGGGATTTTGACTCTGAAGTGTTCAGTTTTTTTTATTTGTGTGCAGTTTTGGTAATCGCCACTAATTATCCCAACAATAATTTCTATTTTACGGGGAGATATTATTGACATTAATTTAAAAACCGTTATGATTTTCTAAGTTTAAAAGAAATTGAACTTTGTTAACACCTTCACTAAAAAATTGAGCTTATTCTCTAGTCGTTTTCGTAAAACTCAAACAGATTAAAATCAAAATACAACTTACAAAAAACGAGAACTCACAATTGTTTATCCATGTTTTTTATATTGTTTTACGCAGGTTCATTGAGATTCCTCCGGTAGTCCGGTAGAAGGGGAAAAAAGGCATCATTTGGTTTTTAGATTTTTACGAGCGTGGACAGAAAATATCGATGATATCCACATGTCAGCTACACATTGGCAGAGACATTCCAACTTCTTAAATAATTATTTGACTTTGTTTCCTTGGTCAAAATGTGAAACCTAAGGGTTTCCAGTTGTTCTTAAATTTCGATCTGCACATGGTTGTTGTCATTTACTTCAACCAGACTCAACAATCTTCTTCGTGATTGCCTTTTCTGCATTAATCCCCTCTTCAYTGGTTTTTGGGATTATATAATTGGGTATTATTCACCGACTCCATCCACCCTCTGATCCTCTTCTTTATGATTTATGGCTTATTATTTGTGTTTCTGTTTAGCAGTGTGRTTTTAAAAATAAATAGAAGAAAGAAAGGACATGGTAACGRGAAGTGATATRATTAGGTTATAAAATACCCTTTTCGTTTATAAACAAAACGTTTTAGGGTTTTACTTGATCACTATCCAACTCATGTTTCCACATTCTTAAGGGTCGCTGATTCATACAGTTAGGTTACTTTTCTTGATTTTCTTAAAAGATTCATCTTGGGMTAATAGTCACTTTATATTTGAACACCTCTGCTTCTTTCCTCATTTCCCTTAATCATATTACCATTTAAGCCTATGCTTCATTCTCCTTTTCCCCATATATAAACTTGTCAGACCAAGGGAAGAATGTTCATCATATGATTGTTTTTTGTTGGCATAGGAACCATGTGTAATTGGATACTGTTTCTGTTTTTCGCTTTTGCTTTGTTGGTTCTTTTGTAAGGCCTCTTTGTCAACMGGGGCTTGTGTATGATCTCTTTAAACAACCTTGGCCTCATAGGATAATGTTTCTGGTAAGGATGAGATGTTGGTTTTGGTTTATGGTCATAATTTGAGGCAACAGTAATTGCTACTCTTTGGGTTGAATTTACAASAAGTTTTTGATTTCATCTTACTGAACCAATATATATAACTTGTGTTACATGATAATTGCAGGGATGTGTCCAAAACCTTTGAAGGGCCACAAGATGAACACAAAGCAATAAGYGGTGGAGATAGAGAAACGCTACGAGCCTCTTTRTCTTTTCCTTTACATGTAAAATTTCCACTATATYTCTGCACGTGTTGGTATTTTCATCATTGATGTTGTTTCTTTGTATACAGGAAGAAGAATACCAGAATTGGTTMTGCAGGTGCTGGYATGTACAAAAAACTTGGCATTTGCACCTGGCCCACCTATGTTGCACTCTGGAAGGTGCGTGTTCTTTGAAAGTTAAGGGCCTTTTATGTCATCTGTCCTTACCTTTTCTTCATCTCCCCACTTTAGACTCATCTAAAATTACCGTTTTATGCATGCTGCTAATMTATCGCTATTTGGCATCATTAACAACTGAATAGGTTAGTGTGGGCTGGGATTGCTGGTTGGATTGGGCTAGCTATGCTATAGCACTTAGCACTTGGACAAGTGTGGGATTGGATTGGTTTATAGATGCTAAAGTTTTATGATCAAAAGATAGCAGTTAGCACTTGGACGAATGTGGGCTTGGATTGCTTGTTGGATTGAGCTATATATGCTAAATGTTTATGATCAAAAGATTGTTGATCTACGGGCGACTGTCCCTTGAAGAAACTCTCGGTTGCCATCGTTTTGAAGCAACAAACACACACAAATGAAAGATGCAAGAAGTCTACAAGGATATATTCTAGAATTGATCTTTATTAAAGTATAGATACACACATACAAATGTTTGACAGCCAATACATATATAGATTATAAAACGGTGCATTTGAACCATTGTGATGGTTCAAAATTAACTACCAAATCAGTTTAGGTAACTGCCATTCAACCTATGATGTGTCACTAGACACATTTTATTAAAAGTATTAATTAGTAATATATTCTAATAAAATGTAAATGACAATTAAATTCCAACAAAGGTTAGCACTTGGATGAATGTGGGCTTGGATTAATCCATATGTTTCCTTGAGATGCCCATTTTGTTATCATCAAT